AATAAAAGGATTGACAACTAGTGTACACACATAACTGTTATGTACACACAATTCATAAGTTTGACAAAAATAAATATTTTACACTATCTTATTCAAAGGAGCTAAAATTAGGTGCTCACCGACCTACTTCATATATTATTCTTAACGTCTTTTACTTTATTGGTATAATTTATCGGTGATGGTTTTATCTTGAATATTGTTAATTAAGAAGTCAGAAGCATCCATTATGATACTTAACGTCTTTTCCTTTATTGGTATAATTGATCAGTGATGGTTTTATCTTGAAAACTGTTAATTAAGAAGTTGGAAGCATCCATCATTATCATGTGGGGATCCCTCGTCTTTACTCAGCTTAAATCACATAAAAATATGTTTAAAACGAGATTGAAATTAAGAATTGACTCATCGACGGAACACATAACTACCCCAGATTTAGAAGTAACACCTTATGTAAGTTACCATTGTTATAGTTGCAAACAGGGGCGGAGCCAGGAGATGGCTCCCCCTGACTACAACCCATGTCACATTTTTAGGAAAAAACACTTAAATTTTTATAATTATAATTAAATTTATACTTTATCTTATAATATTCAATATTTTTATAGTTTTCTAGAAAATATTCCATAATTCTAATAAATGATTTAATTTTATAAACCTTTTTGTTATAATTCTATACCACTTTTTCTTTTGTTTTCAAATCCTTCTTTTATTCTGTAAATTCTTAAATTCAAATCATTATATGACTATTTCATATTATCTTAATATATTTTTCAAACACCATTCTAGATTATTGAAAAAGGTTACTTGTTTGAACAGACATTAATTTTTATTTGATATTCAAAACATATAGAATGATTAGGATGGTCCCAACTTTCAACCATTGGATTTCACAAAATTTGGTTATAGAATCTTTCATTGGAAAATTAAAGTCAATTAATTAAGGGGTCAACTAATTTTTACATAATTAGATTCGTTTTGACTCCTTTCATGAGCTTTAGTCAAATTCATATAACGTGTCTATGCCGCGTTAAAATTAAGAAAGATTTAATTTAATAAAATAGAGAGAAGTATACATAAACCATGAATATTTGTATCTTGATTTATATTTTTTATTTTAATTAATAAATATACTGTTATAGTATAATTTTATTTTTCTATACACATCCACTTAGATGTCAAATTATAACTAAATTAGTTGATGATTTTTTTATTTTTATTTTTTTTGTTTTTTCAAAAGTCAAGTTATTATTAGAATATATATATATTTTTTTGTAAATATTAATCCAATGAAATTTAATAAAAGTTATTAAATCGGTATAAAAAATAAGTACTCTCATTTCTCTTTAATGATTTATGTGTTCGGTTCTCATGGATCCAATATTACCTTTTGTTCTATTTAAATCGAGCAAATTTGTCAAGGTTGTTCCGTTAATTTTATCCTCACAATTAATATTTGTTCAATAAATTTTAATAGTCATGATCAACTAAACTAAGGAAAAAATTATAGTCATAGCTGTTAACTTGCCATCCCACCTAAAAACTGAAGATAGCATGTGAATACTCGAATATTATATTAGTACAATAAACCTTCTCATAGCAACTTAGATATTTTATATTTACTTTTATCTAGTTGAGTTGCGAGGATTTAAACTTTAGACTTTTGGTTCTAATATCATGTTAAGTTACCATACATCCTTATATTCAACTTGATAAAAGAAAAAATAAAAATAATCCAAGTTTCATGTGTAGGACCCTATTGGACTATAAAATTAATGATGAGCTCTCACCTCACATATTAACTTAAGTTTTTGGATTAAATAATAACTTAATTTAATATCAGAGCCAAAAGTAAAAAGTTTGAATTCCAACATTCAATCAAATAAGAAAAATTAAAAATTAAAAAATATCCAAGTTTCATGTGTAACAAATAAGTTTATTTTCTTTTGAATAATATCTTTTATTTTCTTTTTTCTCAGTATGGATCAATCAAGATTGTGTCTTATTGAGACGATTCCAAATAGAATCTGATAAATTAATATCAAACAATTAATGGAGGGAAGAACTAAGAAATTAAAAAAAAAAGTACGTATAAAAAATGTAATAAAAGAAAAAATAATAAATTAAATTAAGAGATAAAAAGATTAGATCGGGGAGGATCATATCTCATATTATATATCAAAGAAGGAATAAATAATTTTAAAGGAGGGAATTATGACAATATTTCTTAAAAGTATATGATAAATTATTTAGAGAAAAAATAAATGGGACCTCCACTGAAATTATTCTCTTTCAAACCATCATGATCTTTAAATTATTTATAATTTTTAGAGTTATATAATAAGATAAATGCATGGGTGGGTTATTTTGTCTACTTTAATGGTGTTCTAGAATAAAGAGTACAGATGATGAAGTCTTGTATTGACTTTAGGTTTCGAGTATCGATCAATTTCAAGTTTCCAAAAGTATGACAAATTATATATGTTCCCTTTTCCAATTCTTTAATCTTTTTTATTCGATGATCTAATTGATTCAAAAGCTTGATCATTATTTTTTTTACTTCATATAACTCAGTTGCATGTGCATGGGCATATGTCAACATGTGCATGCAACAGCGATGAAAAGCTTTAGACTTCTCAGCTTATGGTGTCCTTTTAGGGCAGAGCCAAGAAATTGCCATTGTGGTTGGGGTTAAGTGTCTTTTAGGGTAGGATCAAGCAATTATTATTATTATTGAAAATATTTGTGGGACTTGACAATCAGTATGCCCATCGTGCTCGATCCACCCCAGACTACAAGGTAAAAGTGTGACTTCTTTCTCAATACAAGGATTATGATTCAAAAAAAATCTTAGACCATTTCTTTTTTCTGTGGTGCTAAGAATGTTTCTCTATGCGTGAGAGAAAAGGAAAGAAATTAACAGGGTTCTTTATCTTTTTGACTTCAGAGGCATACATGGCAGCTGGAATTTTCAGCCATACAGACAAGTATATATTTTTCTTGTATTTACACCTATTAATGATTTTGTCTATGCAAGAAAATAATCTGGGCGGCCGAAGATTAATCACAGCTGAAAATTCTTAATGAAAATTCTATTTTGTTTTTTCCAACTTTATCATTGACCTTTAGCTCTATCTACCTATGACCTCCACTACTTGTGATTTTACTCCATCTTCTAGAATTATTTTCTTGATTTCTTCCAACTTTAGTTAAGAAAAAAACAAAAGTTAAGAAAGTTGGAAGAAAATCTGAAGAATTTATGACAATTATATCATTATACTAATACAGGTTAATGTAGAATTACAGTAATTCACGTAACTTTTTTAATCTTCATTATAATTTTATTATCTATAATTTAATATAAATAAATATATAAATAGAAAGAGTAGTACTACAGTATATATACAAATCAAGTATAGAAACGAATGTGACACAACTCTTTCATTATCACATTATTTACTATGTTATTTAAAATTTATTGAGTTGATTTTGTATACAAATCTATCCATTCACTTTGTAGTTTATATGAAAAAAATTGTATAAGAAATTTGTAGATTTAGAATTATTCATAAAAAAACAAAGAAGGCATTTTGTAAAATACAGATGGAAAAATAATTGAGTTAAACATTTATAAGATTAACTTCCCTTTGTGGGTTAGGTTTATACATATGTCGGAGTCTCTAGATACTATTTTGGAACTTGGAAGTGTCCTTACCTCTTAATTATTGGATATCAAGTGATTGATTTGGGTCACGAGGAGTGAGATTTAACATTCAACAACCAAATACACTCTTTTAGGTTATAAAACGAAATGGTGTATAAAACAATATTGAGATACATATTAAACTTGATAATTGTATTTTACATACTATAAGTATTACAATGATATCAAATGATCAGTATGTGTTAACAATATAATTTATCATATATATGCAGATTTTATGTTGATTATATAACATTTTATAGGATAATAATAAATATTCTAACTTCCTCTAGAACTCAAGCTAGTGAACAGTTTGAGGCGGCGCAGGATTGCACACACAGTAACTTAACATGGTGTGTGAGTTATATGTAACTTTCGGTGATATGTATTTCATGACTAGTGATAATTGATTATCTAGACTCTAACAAGAAAATTTTCATACAATGATATGACTTTGATACGATGTGATAACCTATACATTCTACCCGTCTCCGCATTTTTTAGATTGTCTTACCCTAATTGCGTATAGCTTAAATAATAAATACTATCTCTACACCAACTAAGTATTAACCTATATGTTTAGGGTGGAGATCAAATTATTAGTATATGTGAAATTTTTAATAATTTTTCTTTTTTATTTAAGAGGTATAGTCATTATGTTAACCGCAATAGTTACATTGAATGTTTTTAATTAATAAATTTTCCAATTATCCACAAAATTATTAAAGTATAATATAATAGTTAACCGTCAAGTCTAGTATGTAGTTTGCTCCCACAAGGTATAAGGTTCGAACCCTCCTTATGAGTATCTATATATGACGACATTTAATGGTCTCCTAACGATGATAGGGTTCGGCGTGAGCTTCAGCTTCAAACTCACACTTCTAAAACAAGTGGGACAAATTTATAAATTATTAAAAAATAATAATAATAATTAACAAAGAAACTTAGGTAGTAATATTTTAAGTCTCTCCAATAATTCATAAATCCTATCTCTAACACAATAATGAAGATGATTTGATCAAATATAATTAATTAATAAATTAGGGATAAAGTTTTGACAAGATTTATATCAAGTTAAACATTATTGGCACCTTTTAAATGCTCACATAGTTGTGGTAGTGCTATCATAACCTGACAAGAAAGTTAAATTATAATTATTTTAATGCACCTTTTAAATGCAAAAGTTACCACAAATCTCTAACATGATCAAAAGTAACACGACATAATCATCATCATTTTGTTGACTTTTGTAAATGTGGACACAAACTGCCTTCCTCTAGTTTATTGTCCTAGTCAGCCCTAAATCTCTCCATTGTTAAAAGGGTAATTCTTGGGGCTCATTTTTCTTATGAATTAGAGTGAAAAAATCAGCTTAATTTTCAGAGGAATTAATGAAGATGATGCCAACTGGGTTCAGGTTCAATCCCACCGATGAAGAACTCATCCAAATTCTTGAAAGGAAAGTTTATGGCCAAGAAATGCCTCTCCATGGCCACTTCATTGTTGAAAGAAACGTCTATGAGTTTGATCCTCAAGATCTTGAATGTTCGTCAATTAAGCTCTAATTTCTTGCTTCTTTAATTAATTTCCCTTCTTCTCTCTTCATATCTGGTTTACTTATTTATTTTTGTTTTTTGGATTCTTAGATTCTTCCTTAAAGCAATTGATGCTTATTGCATGTTAATTTTAACTTATACTGTCATGAATGAGCATTTGGATTACTTTCGTTAGATGATTGAATTTTTGTTTAAGTTTTTTTAAACATCACTTTGATACGAGCTTATTTTAGCGTTTTTTTTTTGTGTTGACAGGGGACTATAATATGGCTGTGCCTAACAACGAGAGATATTGCTATTGTATAAAGGAGAATGATTCTCGAGAAGTCTTAGGTCGAGGATGGTGGAGAGCTACCGGGCATGTTAAGACAATTTATGCGAACGAACGAGTGGTGGGATACAAGAGGCCATTGACGTTTCACAGGTTCACTGGTAATGACAAGAAGCGCAACACAGCCATCAAGACTAATTGGATTATGCACGAATATAATCTAGAATCCAACACAACTGTATGTTTCATTTCATTCTTTGCTTTTTCATTTTTCCTATTCTTTCTTCTATAAATTAATTATGCTAATGAGTAGATTCCCCTGAAAATTTTAAATGTTGGGGAAGAATTGACAGTAACATTTATACTAGTGCACTTGCCACCCACTTTCCTTTAATCATAAATCAAAATATGGATTTTGAGGGAAAACGTGTTACACTTATCAATGCGTTGATCTTGTTGTAGAGAAGCTCATTGCACAAAAAATAAGTTACTCATGATAACCGTTATATTTCAGAAACTCTACTTTTTAAGCTCATTTTGAGAGATTTGGTATGCCTTTTAATGTGTAGAAAAAAAATCGCCGAGAAACCGGCCTAAGGAGAAATATTGGTATTTCTCCGACCCAATGAGGCCGGCGGCATAGGAGTATTGAATTTATACGCCACCGCCACCTTGGCGTCGGTGTATTGTAGCGGCACCGACCCCCAGTCCAGGTGTCCGGTTTTCGTCGGTGGAGAGTGTTTTTCCAGTAATGAAATAAGTAGTAGTTTCATGTTTGATGATTTGCAGGAGTGGAGACTTTGTAAAATCAAATATAAGGGGAAACCAAGTGCGCAAGAAGAGCTGGAGAATAGCAGAAAAGGAGTTGCATCAAATAAAGATTTTGAAGCTAGTAGTTCAATAATGAGCCTGCAGTCAGAATTTGTCGGTGATCAACATCAGCAACCGCAACCATTGCAGCTTGAAAATGTGTGTGAGCCTTGTTTTGAAGCCATAAGTTCAATGGAGACGCAAGAACAATTTGGTTTCGGTGGCGAAGAACCGCTGCAATCCGATCAACTCCTGCAGCTAGACAATGTGTATGAGCTTTATTTTACACAAAACATGCTACTGGAAGTGATTGATGAGAAGCTGCAACAATCAAAAGCTTCATGTGATCCCTATTACTTTGATGGTCAGATTGAGCAACCTGCAGATTCATCGGAGCAGCTCTTTCTCAGCCTTTGGTCGTGGCAGAACTAGCAAAAGTATGGCGGTTTGATCTCTTCAGAGTCTCTCTCTGAATGAAAAGTTTTCTGTTTGGATTGATTAACATTGTGGCTTTCTTTTAACTTTTTTCTTTTGTTAGTGTTTGAATGAATGAATCTTAGTATTTGAAAATTCTCGGATGCGGACATCCTAATTTTTTTTACCAATTAGCTGATAGTAGCTATTGTAATCGGAGTTTAAAAAAATTAGGATATCCGCAAGAGAGAATCACTATCTATGTATTTATGTTTGAAAAATGGACATATTGTTAAATTATCTAGAGATTACTTGCAGTTGCATAAAATTAAGTATGTTGATTGTTTGCACTATTCCGGAGAGTTTCCGTGGTCATGTGCATCCATGTATGTTGAGTACTACTTCGATGACATTTGTTTACGTTGGGGACATATATTTGTGCTTATCAGTCAACTGACTGATAAGCACAAGTATATAGTGTGTCAATGTCTACTTAGCAATTTAGTTATGAATTAGTTTGAAATTTTGAGTAAAGTAGCACAACCCAATATTTCTCTCCTGTGAACTGGTCTATAAATTCTCATTTACATGTAAAAGCTCTCCAAGAGTGTTTGTTTTTTTATGGGTTCAGAACTTATTATCCTTTAGTGAAAAAATTTCGAATCGATTCTCGGCAACTAAACACAATTGATATTCATGAAAATCCAATAAATTAAACAACAAACACATGGAATGAATAGTCATAGCCTTAACTCTTGAAGCTTATGAAGCTTGTTCACCTTCCATTTATTACTCAAGTCATGCGTGGTCCTCCATTAACATCTTCAACTCTACCTCCTATCACAATCAAGCTAGTCCATAAAAATTATGTTAATCGGAGATCACAGCTGATTTTACAAAAACTTTGAGCCTTTAATGAGCACTTCCTCTTAAATTAATTCAAGAGCTCTTACTTGTGAATTCCTTAATATTTCCTTGGATAGGTGTTGGAATTCCTTTATCTCCAAACCTACCTCTGCCCTGATCCTAACCCTAGGTTTCTTGAGATTGGTTAGGGGCGAGTAATTCTACAAGTTAGGAGATGTAATACTTGTCTTCGAACCTGTATCCGAAATTAATAGTAGCGCTTTTACCTATCTTTCTCTTTTTTTTCCCTTTTTTAATAGGATAAATAATATAATTAATCATATTTCTTTAACATATTATTAATATATAATGGTTCCAAGGGCATCATTTGCAGCACCCCCACTCCTACCTCTAAAAGACTTTGAAGAAGTTTCCAGATTCGAAGAAAAACTAAGCAAATTGAAGAGAGAAATTTTTCTGATTGAAAGAAAAATAGAAACAATTGTTACAGCCCAGAATGAAGAACGAAGAAGTTAGGCGGGATGTTTACAATACAGCTGTAGCAAAGCCACAACGCACCGTATTGCTTTTAGTTTTTTGTTTTTACATTTTAGTCCCATAAATAACTTCTTAAACTTAACACTTTGGTCCCTGCAGAAAATTGAAAACTGAAAACTAGAGTTGGGCAAAAAGCCGGGGCCCTTCAATCCTGAGGAGGGGTGACCAGACCTAGGCCAGTCCGTCATCCAATCCCAGGCCTGGGCCCGGTTAATTCAGAGTACCCCTTACCAAATAACCAAAACCCCTTATAATATATAAATACATAATAAATTCCGAGGTTAAAATGCAATTTTTCAAAAACCATTATAAATTTATAATCATTCATTTATATTTATTTACTAATTAATTAAAAATTTATAAATCACCCTTTGATAAATTACAAAAACCCCTTACATAATTATATTACCCCCAAATATAAAAAAAAATTAGGGGGTTAAATGAATATTTATCAGGCCTACATAGGACCAGTCCCAAGACCGGTCCTATATAAGCTAAGCCTTGGCTAGGGATCGATCTAGGCCCTCACAAAAGTGATGGGCCCAAGACTGATCCCAACCAATTTGGGCCTGATCCCTCAGGAACCAGTCCCAAAGCGGAACCGATGCTTGAGGGCCCAAGCTTGGGACAACCCGGGCCCAACTTTGCCAACCTCTACTAAAAACTGGAAATCCTAGACCATTCAGAAAACTGCTTTTGCTGCATTTTACTCAACATTCCCCCTTAGACTTAACTGCTTGTTGATTTTGAAAAATCATTAAGTCTTCTATATTTTTCTCATTAAGTCACTTTTACATGTTTCTGCTTCAGTATTTCCTCTAAAGCTGAACTTCTTGGCAATCTTCCAGAATTCCTTGCAACCTGCTGAATTGCTGTTGAACTAGCAATCTACATATTTATCTACAAATTGATAAGTTGCTAAATTTGCTAAAGGCTGCTAAATTTCTACAAACTAAGGCCACTATATTTTTGCAAATTGCATACTTCTACAAAGTACTAAAAATCATCTGCTACATTTCTTCATGATGCATCTTTTCTTCCAAAGACCAAATCAAATTCTACAAATAATCAAGCCAACTGCAAATACTATAATTCAACCAACTACAACTAAACAACATATTATGTAAATCATTCTACTACATTACTGCCTCATTTTACTACATTACATGCTTTTGCAAAATATTAAAAACTATCTACTACATTTTTTCATGCTTCAATTTTTCTTCCATAGAACTCATCAAATAAGAACAGATCAAATTCTGCAAGAATTAGATCAACTACAAATACTGCAGTCTACAATTTACATTCTGCAACTTGAAAATCACATTCTGCAACTAAAAATCACATTGTACAAATCATTCTACTATATTGTTGCATCATTTTTCTACACACTTTGCTGGCACAACAACTCAAAACATTCCTTACCAAATCATTGTAGATTGGACAATGTTGAAGTGATTTTAAGCTTATCTCTCACATGTTGAAACTTGAAAGTTTTAAAGGATTACCAAGTGTTTAAAACTTATGCGGAATGGGTTGCTTGTTCAATTTTTAGTGCAAATGAGTTGTGAGAAACTTAATTAAAACATACATCAAAGCAAGTAAAGAACACACTCATTTTTACATGGTTCGGCAGCAAGCCTACATTCATAGGACCATATCCAGATGAAGCAAATTCACTATGAAATACTTATGAGTTCAAATACAAAGCAAGATAACCAAAGTTGTAAAACACTCCCTGTTTTCTACACAACAACTCTATCTTCTTTGGTTGAACTTCAAGTCCTCACAGCAAGCTTCACAAACACAGCACCATCATGTTGAAGAAGAGCTCTTCTCAGGATTCAACAATGAAGTCAAGACAGCAACTTACACACAAGCTCTCGTCACAATGGAAACAACATCCAAAGATCTCACACAAGGACAAGTGACGATTGTAATTCTAAGCCTACCAAAGCATAGTAAGAAAACTTAACAAAAAATGAGAACCTCAAAGAATATTCAAAGAGGAAAACAAATGTAATCAGATTCCTTAAAGAAAAATGCCAAAAATGATTGAATATATATAGAGATCAATGCGTCAAGGGTTAGGGGACAAAAAAGTTAAATATTAATTTTTGTGTTTTTCTTTTTGTACAAGAAATTTGGGACCACAGACAAAAGCAATATTCCTTTTCTCTCACAGCAAATAAAAGGTAGACAAGTGTAAAAGAACAAAACAAAATATCAATAAGGAATAATATTGTCCAAAAAGTAAAACGAGTGCGTGAAGTGTGACTGAGGGGAAAATATCTGTCAGAAGCATTGTGTACACACATGCTAAAGTGCTCACATTTCTGAAGGTGTTCACCTTTAGCAAGTGTGCCTACAATGGCAGAAAGGCAAAAATAGTGTAGGACTCGAAATAGGATCATAAGGTGACAAAAACACTAACAATCTCCCCATTTGTCACTTATGATCAAAGCACAATTCTTAGACAACAACAATAAAAAAAAAAAAAAAAAAATTCAAATAAGAGATTGAAAAAACAATTTAAGAACAAGACAACTCCCCCTCAATAGTAAACCTCCTCCTAATCAAAACATAAGTCAAGAACGAAGTTACCGAAGGATTTCCAAATGAGGCTGATCAACATGTCATTAAAGAGAATCTGCACAGCAAGGGAGATATTAGCAATAAAACATAACTCATGCATAGAACCAATATGAGCAATAGCAACATTAGCAATAAAAAGAAGCACCAGAAAAAAAGAATTCACAAGAAAACATCCATAAAAGGTTCTAGTGTTCTGCATAAAGAAAAACGTAAAGTGTGATCACATAGAAACAGTAGTAATCACAAAAAACAAACAGTCAACAGAAAAACAAAAGAACACAATAAAAAAAATAAAGTCTTGGCATCTAAAAAAAATCTTAGCTCTGCAGCAATAACAAACAACATAACGACATCAACTCCCCTTCTTTGATCATAAGTGATCAACTTTTGTGTCAAGAAGATCTTCTGGTCGGGGGCTTCCTACCAACAAATTTGACACGAGTTTTGACAGAGTAGGAGCTAGAGGAGGATCAACTGTAGAGGTGTTCACATCAGGACCATCTTCTATAGTCTGAGAGTCAGCAAGAGGGGCCACATCTTCATGTTCTTTCTCCTTGTTGGAGGGATCAATTTCAGGAATAAGCACAGAAGCAGAGATTCATTTTGCACTTTCCCAGTTGCAATTCCAGAATCAGGTTCATCCACAATGTCTTCTTCATTAATATCTTGAATGTCTTCGGGAGTGACTGGAATTTGATCCTCAAGGACAATATTTGCATCGGTAGGGTTGGCATTCAGATCAATTTGAGGCTTAGCAGGAACAACAGTCTTCTCAATAGGAATATAGGCATTAGGGGCATCTTTGGAACCACTTGAAGATCTTTTACTCAGAAGCTCAACCTTGGTTTCTTTAAGAGTAGCTTCAAGGGAGTCAACAAGAGCCAGCAAGGTGGTGCGATAAGAATCCACTTTCTGATCAAGAGCTTGCAACAATTCAAACAACTTGGACTACCAAGCACTAGATTTTATAGGAGGTGCCTAAGAGGACAAAGGTACATCCACAACAGGGACAACATGCTTGAGAGTTTTAGAGGAAATACTTATAATCTTAAGAAAATGGTCATTGGACTGTTTTGAAGCCTTATACGAGTCAACAAACCTTGTAATCAGAGAAAGGAAAGGCAGAATGAAGGATTTCCCTTCAGACTCACCAGCAATCTTGATTGATTTGTAAATAACAGAAGCAAGATCTATTTTCTTTCCTTGCACAATGCCATACACCAATTGTGTTTTATCAAGCCTAATAGAAAAATTATGCCTAGAGGGAGACTAGTTGGTGATGGTGATTTTGAAAAGAGTCTTGTACA